ACCATATTTGTGGAACATTCTACCTTTAACACGATAGAGTTCTCTAAGACCCACCTCTCGCTCTTAGAGAATTTTTGAAGGGAAGTCATGATTCAAACGTAGCAGAATAACAATTTTTCTCTCTTTAGTTGATCCTTATGAATGATGTATGATCGGTGATAGAACAATTATATGTTGTGGTGATTAACAATTTGATGCAAATCCGGATGAATGATCACGAGCGAGAAACAATGATCAATGCCTCTACTCAGTTTACAGGAGCATGGTTCCTTAAATTTTTGTGCTAGCTGCTATGAATGAATACTTTGAGTGAGAGAGAAAAAAATAAATTATGATTAGGGTTTCACAAACTGAATTTCATCAAGTGTTTTAGCTTCTACATTAGGGCTCTATTTATAGAACCACTTGTGTGGGTAATAAACTAAAAAAGCCTAACTTAACTGTACCATATAATAATAATAATAATAATAATAATAATAACCTAACTTATCATATTATTATTATTATTATTATTATTATTATTATTATTATTATTATTATTATTATTATTATTATTATTATTATTATTATTATTATTATTATTATTATTATTATTATTATTATATTATACAATATTCCATATTCCACTTAAATACATTGTACTTTACGGTGTTCCATAATTCTTTCAAGTACATTGTACCTTACAATGTTCCTAATTTATTTTATCTCTCATCAACTGTTCTTATGTGTGTGACCATGTAGATTCTCGTGACATTGATAATTATATTAAATCATATATTTAATATAATAAATAGTGTGCAGTATCTAGCAATACATCACTGTTATCCAAGTTACAAAAATGTCACGTGATCTGACAAAACATTTTTTTGTGATAATGTTCTTGTATACAATTACCCTTTTGCCCTCATGTATATATTGAACATAGGGCATAGATTGTGTCACCCTTGTCCAGTTCAATATTAGACCCTTAGATATTTATTCTGTTACGCGTGATGGGAAAATTCTATCTAGGTCATTCATGTCCCCCATCATACTTTGTGGAATACCCATCAACTGTCTGTATGGTCATCTAGTTACTGTCAATGTTTGATCAACAATCAAGTACTCGACTCCACATCTAGGATCCATGATGGTTTCAGGTCAAAGGATGGTGTTATACACCAGTATTACTATGAGAATAACTTATGACACTTTGCATAATATTATATGAAGTATTCTCAAAGAGGGTCAATCCGGTAAATACTACTCCTAATATTCATACTTATGTTAAGACTTTATAACTCTTTATCCATGTCCATGAGATGTGATCATTCGTTTATCCACATAATAGTCTCAATGCTTTAATGTTATCTCGCTCCACAATAAATCTCGATTATGGATACTTTAAGAATAGTATCCTTATGTTTAATGAGATCTCATGATTAAGTCAAACTTAAAACTTCATTAAACTTCATAGATCATTAAAGCCATCTTACTTCTATTTATGTTTTTAGCAAGAAATTTTTGAAAGCTATGATTATATTCCTTTATGATCTTATCATAGTTACTAGGAACTTCTGAGACAATTTCTTTCTGAGCATTTTGTAAATTATTTTCTAGTTTAGAAATTGTTTCTTTCAGCTCAGTTTTCTGATCTCAGTTTTCTAGTTTCTTTAGAGTCAGAAACTAGATCATTTTTCAGGTTCTTGTTTATGACTCGAAGTTGCTGATATCTTTCAAGAATTTCTGACATACTTTCTTCTAATTGAGATCTAGAAAAGTTAGAGAATACCTCTCCTGCCTCTGAGTATGATTATGATTCAGATGATCCAGAGTTATCTGATAAGTTGGCCATTTGGTCTATATTCGCTCGTTTATCTTCAGATTCTGTTTCAGCTTCAGAAGATTCTGAGTCATCCCATATTACCATAAGACTTTTCTTCTTATCTTTGGAGAACTTCTTTTTAGGCATTTTTTCTGTAGATTTGGACAGTCGCTTTTGTAATGGCCTGCTTCATTGCATTTGTAGCAGATGATGTCTTTACTTCTGGACTTTTTGTACCCAGAGTTTGATTCAAAATGATTGTTTGATCTTCTGGGATTTCTGAATTTTTGTTTGTGTTTCCATAATTGTTGTACCCTTCTGGAGAGGAGAGATAATTCGTCTTCTTCTGATGCAGATCCTCCAGAACTTTCTTCTTCTTCCTAAAAAGCTTTAGTTTCATATTTTTTTTATTGGATTTAAGAGCGGGATACTTACCTTGCTTCTGGGGTTCATCTTCTTCTAGTTCTATCTCATGACTTCTCAGGGAGCTGATAAGTTCTTCAAGAGAAATTTTGTCTAGATCTTTGGCTAGTTTGAACCACACTAATTGTCCTCTTGGGGTCATGTGAAAAAAAAGGACTACTCTAGAGTTGTTGTCTTAAGAGCATCTAAAGCCTTCCATGGCTTGGTTGCTATTAATAGTCGAAACCAACACAAACTATAGCGATCATAAATCCCATGGCCATGCATTGGATTGAGTTAAAGGAATTAATGAGTCAGTTATCCCACTGGGGCTTTCCGACCTCTCCATATCTAAAATTTGTCAGGTTCTATGATGCCTCATGGGACAGGATTCCACTGGGGCTTTCCAATTTCTTTACCTTATAAACCTAATTAGACTCTCTAACTTCTTCGTTAGGATGGTGAATATTTTTTGACTTCATTAAAACATAAGTCTTCCCATTATATGACATGATGAATCCCTTAGAAATTGGTCCATTATCGAGATCGCAGAGTTACAGAAAGTTTACATAATTTGGGACAGATTCAAAACACTTATCTTTTACAGGTCTCGCACTATTACATGCTGCAAGCTCTGGGGGATTATGTACATCCCAAATTATATTAGAACTCGGATAAGGTCGACTTGTGCCTCGACAACCTATAAACAGTCACAACTTATGTATACTCCGGGTGATCCCTCAGACTACGACAAGCTGAGTTACTAGCTCACTAAAGCCGAGAAGGATAAATCAAATAGACCGAACACTCTTAGGACGAGAAAAGTCAAGTTAGATCTTGAAATGGCCGAAGGTCTTTCGAATGGACATCCAAAGAGGCATACATCACAAAGTTAAGCCAAATGGTCATTTACGCAATATGACTAAAATTAATAGGCAATTACATGTGGCCATAAAGCCTATTATAATCATCACTGATGGACGGTTATATATATATATATATATATATATATATATATATATATATATATATATATATATATATATATATATATATATATATATATATATATATTATGGCCATAAAGCCCATTAATGATGAATATTCAAGGGGAGGAGGATTGATAGTATAAAAAGGCCTTTTTAGACCAAATGGGTGGGGGGAGCGTACGAATAACACAAAGAAAGAGAAAAACATGGAAACTGCCAACAAAAATGGTGGCTTCTCGTCCTCATCCTCAAATACCCTCCAGATATAATTCAGTTACAGCCTCACCCGATCCATTTTGGAGAGATTATCTAAACGTGTTTTAGAATAACAAAATATATTATAACAGACATAATAAGCAAACATCATAAAATTAGACATGTTATAGGCTCTTGGGTGCAAACTCCCCGAATTCACACTCCTTTCATGGCATACATTGGACAAAAGGCAAACAAACCACAAATGTTATCCGCAAAGTGAAACCTTAACTCAGCCGCATAGATTAGACAAAAGACAAACAAACAACAAATATTATCATAAAAACCATCTCTATTTGTTTCAAAATCTATTACATTACTCACAATTATATTAATTATTTTGTTTTTGTCATGTTATTCATGTGAAACCAACAAAGGTATCCAAAATTAGAAAAATATGTTACCCTCTATGTTCTTTTTTAATTGTTATTTTTGATTTTTTTTACACATACCAATAAAACTAATGATTATTGTTACTTTTTAAGCAATATTTCTTTTATCTATAATATTTTTAATTTTTTATTATTTTACTCCTTCCGTTTCACAATGAATGATCTATTTAGAATAAAATAAGCTCCCAAAATAAATGACTCATTTTAATTTTCAATACAATTTTCAAACTCTATCGTCTAATTAATTAAATTTTTATCATTTTCAATACATGATTAAAGATATTATAGTAAAAACATTATTTTCTCTCTTATTTTTATACATATTTTTTAATATGAGTGAAATAATAGTCCAAATCTTGATTTTTTGATTTCTTGATGAACAAGTTTCATATTTTGACATGTCTTGATGAATTGTAATCTTTGAAACTTGATTTTGATCAAAAAGTCAAAGTTTGACTTTTCATCAGTTGACTGAAATTCATCTATCAATCAATTGATCTTGAGAAATGTTATGAGCCATGAAATTAGGTCAAAATGATGCATTTGAATCCTTGATATCATGTCTCAAACCAATAAGTCATTTGCTAGGTCAAAAATAAAAAATTACATTTTCTCGGTCAAAACCCTAATTTTGACTATTTTACCCGGTTATGATCTGATCAAATTTCTTGAGGAATTATGATCCGAATTTTATCAAATGACATATATTAGTTCATGATGTTGACATGATCATTCATTGTGAGAATGAGAGAGTAACTTAATTTTTCTCTCTCTATAATAAATGATTGGTGATAATTTTAAAATTATCACTAACACTATTTTAAAATTTGGAAATAATTAAAAAATAATATAAAATTTTCACAAAAATAATAATTAAAAAGAAACAGAGGGAATACTACCATTTTAAATCCCTACAATCATAGATCCTCAAAAAGCATCTTGGGGACACAAACACTCCGAAGATTAATAATACTAAAACAAAAACAAAACACAGAATAATTTTTCAAACGAATCTTATAGTGGGTGGTTTACAACAAGAAGAATCTGCCAGCTATAGTGGACAACACCATGAACAAAATTCATAAACCCGAAAATCTAAATACCCATTTACATTTAACAAACCAAAATACAACGAAAATAGAACTAGACCTAAAGACACTAAAGCAAGAACATAACAAGCCAAAAGCCAAAAGAGTGAAACACAGAGGAAGCTGTTGTAGAGGAATCTCCCATGGCTAATCCAGCTAAATATGTCCCATCTGCAAGCATAGTTTCTCCTCCAGATCCTGCCCCTGAATTAACAGGAACAGAATAGCCTATGGGTGTGTCTGAACCCGCACCCGTACCCGTGTATTCCACTCCACCTTCGGATCCTGTTCCAATCTCAGGAGTCCCTATCACTGTCCCTGTCCCTGGTAACGTTGTTGAGCTCACTGGGGTTGGATATTGTGAAGATTTTTTACTGCAAAACCAAATCATCATAACTCACTCAAAAATTATCACAACCACTAAAAAGTTCACCATTGGCTAACTATACACACTAGTACAAACCAACCAACAAATAAAAGTGTAAATTCTACACTCAAATAAAGTAAAGTTTCTCCTTGAATCATGATGACATTACACCCCTTTTCAACGTAAAAAAACATATCATTAAAGTTATTCTTTAGAAATAAATAAAAATATCTATTTTTTAACACCGATTTTTCCTATACCCTAAATAACATAATTTAACACAAAAAGGAGATTAGTGTTGTTTAATGATTATTACCTTGGAGAAGATGGACAAAAGGTAACGGTATAATCTGCAGCAGTACAAGTAAAAGTACTTGAAGCATCATCGTAAGCGTAGCTATACGATCTAGGACAAGCAGCCTTAAACATCTCCGAGTAAACAGACGGTCTACAAGTCGCCGGTGAACCATACGCGCCGCTACAACAATACTCGGGACTACCAAAAGCCTCGCACGCGCTCTTACACGCGCTTCCATCTGAAGCTCTCAACTCCGCTGGACATTGCTGGTTAAGATCCGACGTACAGCCGGTTGATTCACACATACCGGACCCACCCGAACCTTCAACGATCATGGGTAGGTTGTAACCGTCTACAAGACTCACGTCGTAGAAATCCTGTCCTATGGTTCCGAGAGTGAACTCTGCGAGGGTGGCGGGAGGAGCAGCTCCGGCGCCGTTGCATTCTATCATGCCGGAACCGCAGTCTCCGGTGAGGCATGAACCGGAGCCTGATCCGTCGAAGTTGCAGCCGGTTCGGGCCCAGAACCGGCCGGACCAACCGGTTGGAGCTTGGAATGAGCGAGTGGTTTGTTGTGGAAGTTCGAAACCGGTGCTTCCGAGAGATGGGCTACCGGCATTTGCGAGAATGCCTGGCCATACTGTGTAATCGCATCTGTTGACAAATGTGAAGGAAGAACCGGAGATACCTGAACAAAAACAAGGGAAAAAAGTGAGTGTTTTGTGTTCATGTTGAACGAAATAATGTAAATATGGAAAATGTTGTGTTTTTACCTTTGGGAGTGAGGAAGAGAAGAGTGATGAGAGTGATGGCTAATAGATCCATAAGTGTAAGCTTGTTTTTTGTTGTCATTTTTTGTGTGTTTTTCTTAGGTGGTGGCGACTAACTAACCTAGTTAGTTTGCTGGTTTTTTTAGTTAGATGGTGAAAATGTGAGTGATTTGTTGTGGAGGGAGAAATGGTGGTGGTGGTGGTTGTGGTTGTTGTTACTCCTAGTTACTAGAGAATAGGGGATTTTAGGAAGGGGAGTGTGGGATTGGATAATGAGTGGGGTGGTAACAAAAGGACAAAAGAGAGTGTTTCCAGGGTCAAAAGCTGAACAATTAAATGAGGGAACTATGGGGCTATTGGATGCTCCCGTACCTGGGTCGACAAATTAATAATACTAAATTGTTTGTTATGAAGCCAATGCACAAAACATGTTTCTTTTCCGTTGAATATGATAAAAGATAAAGATTAAGAGTAAATTATATACATTTGGTCACTTGTGTTATTTTGTAATTTATTTTAATAAATTTACTTCCTTTCAAAATAAATACGTTTTAACAAATAAATTTTATTTTAAAATAATTGTTATTTTTATTTTTTAATATAGTAATGATTAGTATTTTTTTAATTGTATCATTTATTTTTTATTTTCTACACTATTTCTAATATATTAATAGGGTTAATTTTGTAAAAATATTATATTTTATGACAATATTATTGCATTTCTTAATTTATATGTAAAAACTTGTAAAAATATTATATTTTATGACAATATTATTGCATTTCTTAATTTATATGTAAAAACTTTAAACGACTGTCATTTTAAAATGAAGAGAATATTATATTTTCTTTTAAAGTTTTAAATAATAATGGTTAGTTAAGAATTAAAAATAGAAGATGATGTGGTGGAGTTGTGTTTCATTGTAATTTTTTCCCAATATGCCACATTTTTTAAATCAATTTCTCAAAATACCACACTCTGAAAAAAATTGTCCAGAATGCCACACCCAAGGGGGGTTCACGCCATTTGAAATGGCGCGAAAGTGGGCAGCAAGGACTCACGCCAAATCAAATGGCGTGAAAGGCCTGATTTTTTTCTTCGTTTTCTTGTTTTTATGTTATTTATATTAATAATTTTAATTATTTAATTTTATTATTAATTATAAATAATTTAATAAATTATTTAGTTATAAAATTAATTAATAATATATTAATTTAAAAACTTAAATAATTATAACCTTAAAATAATTATTTAACAATTACAATTAAATAATAAATTTTTTTTTATTAAATAATAAAATTTCACAATTACAATCAAAATACTAAATAAAAAAATACAGTTAAAATTTCACAATTACACTATTTAATACTGATGATCCGGTCCGAAACGAGTACCGGTAAAACAATAACGCCGTCTCGGAGCACGATGACCAAAACCATATTGTTGTTCGGTCTCTATTGTTGGAGGATTTTGTTGTGTTGCATATGATGTTGGAGGATTTTCTTGACTAGGAGTTGTAGCTTGCAGAGGAGACCAAGTGCTTTCCAGTAAATCATAATCACCGACGTTAAGATCCTCGCCAAAATTATATTGCGGTTGTTGTGGCAGACACATGGTTGGAAAATAAAGCGTTGTAGGGTTATGTTGGGAGGAGGAGGAATCGAAGTTTGGTCGCATGATGGGTGTGAATTATGTAGTTGGCCTATTATAAATTTGTGGTTGTTGGGATTCATAAATGTAATTTGGTTGGGAGTGAGATTGCGGATATTGGGTGTTAAAGATTTGATTTTGGTAAAAATAAGGGGCATGAGTTTGTAGTTGAGAAAAATGAGGGTTAGAAGTTTGTTGTTCAGGATAATGGGGGATGGGTGTTTGATGTTGGGAAACGTGAGGAGTTTGTTGTTGGAAGGATTGGGGATGAGGAGGTTGAGAATGTTGTAGTGGTGAGGTTGTTGAGAGCCACTTGCCTGAGTAGGGGCATATTGATTTTGACGAGGGTCAGTGAGAAATTATTCGTACGATGCATATCTATGTGGAAGCGAGTGATACCATTGCATGTACTCATTTGACAGTTTCTCCTCTATTTGTAATTGATCTTCATCCAACGTAAACAATTCTCGATGCAACCAACAGTTTTGTTCATCAGAGTATAATGTGGTATATGCTTTTTGGTGCGCTTTTATTGTTGTTATCTTATGGTGTTCAGCCAGGCATCGAGGTTCTTCAGGTATCCCTTGTAAATGGCCAAATTGTAGTTTTACCCTATCTGTTTGATGCATTTCTACAATATGAAAATATATTATATACGTAGTTGAACTCCATATCAAACTGTCCTCGTGCCTTTGGGGCGCTAATCCAAGATACGACCTCCAAATAAACTGAAAAGTTATAGATAAAACTTCTTAGTTTAACCAAAATAAAATTCATAAATTTATAAGAAGTATTAAAGTGAAGACAAAAAAACCTGATCTTGAAGCATGTGATCAATCCTGAATCGGTATCCTTGTAGATGGTGGCGCGGGTTGTTTTGGTAGTCAAGTTTCTTGATGCACCACCTAAAAAGAATTTAAAATTAAACTTTATTTTAAAGTATCCTAACAATTTTAATTATAAATTTATATTTAAATTAAAATATTACCTTCTTGCGTAAGGATATGGAGCTTGAAGCGGAGCCACCGGAGATATTATAGGCATGCGTGTAAAAGCCCAAGCTTGAAGAAGTAAAACGCATCTTGACATCTCTGTTACTTTTATGTCTAAATACTTGCATATTTCCCTATATAGATTGACTAAAACGGCGGAACCCCAACTCAATTTTCCACAATCTTCCAAATCCACAACAAATTGTGTCCATTTTGAGTGTATAGTATTACCGCTTTTGTTAGGAAACAAAACTTGTCCGATAAGGAGTAAGATATAAATACGAGCATGTTTAATTTTATACTTCTCAGGTGACTCCTCGGTTGGTGGTTCATGTTGGTACATGTCTTTAAGCCATGTCAACCTCGCAGTCATTCCCTTATCACTTTGTGATGGTTCATCCCCTAAAATAGAACTCCATGCACCATCTAGCTCGGATGGACCATTTACCACTTTACCATCTACAGGAAGCCCCAATAACATACTTACATCTTCCAATGTAATTGTGCATTCACCATTTGGAAGATGAAATGTATGAGTTTCGGGTCTCCATCGTTCTAGTAAGGCTATAATTAACCTTGAATCGATGTGTGTGGACCCTATTTTAGATACATGGTAGAGATTGATGAAGGTAAGTGATTATGACTGCATGTGGCTTTAGAGGTTTGTGAGCACGAATTCTCCATTTTGAAATATAAGTATCATCAATCTGTAATAGAAATAAGTAATATAGAAAAATATTCAACATTTCTATGCAAATTATGAATAAAACCAATATTGTAAACTCAAAAATAAATAATATGAATAATATTGAATAAATAAAAAAATACTTACAGCATTGATATTTTCTATTGTTCCCCTATGTTGTGTACCATACCAAAACATATTGGCCATAATTGTGAAAATGAAGAACTGATTGAAGACTTATCAAAAGAGAGTAGAGAGTGTGTAGTGAATAAAATGTAGTGTGTTTGTGGAAAAATGAGGTGAGAGTGATTGAGTATTTATAGGAAAAATTCAGAGTGATGATAGTTGGTTGGTAGTTGTATAATTTAATTAATTGTGGTTGGTAGGTAGTAGAGTAATTTAATTAGAGTTGGTAGGTAGTAGAGTAATTTAATGAAAGTTGAATAAATATAAATTTGTATACTTATTGAGAATATTGTAAATTACACGGTTTTGTACACAATGATAAAACTTCATCGGCTGATCTACTGAATCTGACATACAACTCAAATGGTGTTTTATTAACACCAATTCGAAAATCCTCAAACATGTTAAATACATCTGTATTTGTAACTAACTTTGTAATATGCTGCATCAACACTCCATTTTCGTTGATTGTATCCCGGTTGAAAGATATCTCTGTAATGCTCCTATTAATATTTGTGATTTGACGTAATTGATTTTTCAAGTGAACGAGTTTAGATCTTTCCATAAGCCGTACAACCAAAGGATTAGAAAATGCATTTCTATAATCAAACATAACAACTTGTGAATTATACAGAATAATGTATACTGAGCAAAGTATCAGAGTCATTTTAATCTGAAAACAGAATCGTTTAATGTTGCATTTATATGCATGGCACATATGCTATTCACGCCAGGCTGCAAGGCTTCACGCCATTTGACTTGGCGCATACCAAGGCTTCACGCCATTTGACTTGGCGCGGGTGTACTATTCACACCATTTGACCTGGAGACTACCAAGGGTTCACGCCATTTGAGTTGGCGCGAGTGTACACGGACCAAGGCTTCACGCCATTTGACTTGGCGACAACATGCGCGCAATAAATCCAACAAATAACTGTTTGTTTATTAATACATGCATGCAATAAATCCAACATAGTTGTTTATTTATTAATACCAACGTAGTTGTCTCTTATTCAAACAATTGAATATTACTTCAAACACAATGCCACAAAATCATATTTCTTGTCTCTTACATTTCAATGGTAATATTTTTACCGACGAAAATATTGGAGTGGTCTTTCAAAATACGGATCCACATATTTTAAATATTCATCGAAAAAGTGATTTAACCCACTTGACGAAAAAAATAGAAGAAACTTTACAACAACATGTAACTTCTATTTTTTATCGATTTCCAATAGTTAATCCAGTTGATCACAATGTCACATACAACACTGCAAAAATCGAAGACGATGAAGATGTCCGTTCAATGCTTCAATGCCACTCAAGGTTTTACAGTCAACAAACAACGGAGTTGTATATTTGTTTTCAACAAATGCATGAAGTATATCCAACACAATTATCACAAACTCATGCATATCAACAAAGTCAGGTCTCCCAACAAGAAGAGTTTGTCCAAGCACAACATAACGAGCCAATATTTCCGGAAGAGGAAGTGGGTGATGATACTGACTCCGACGATGCCAGAAAAATTAATTTGTTTA